GAGGGTTCTCCACCCCGCACAACATGATCTACTCGACCACCATTATGGTTACCGCCAAAAAAAAAAGCCGGAGGTAAAAAAAAAAAAAACGATAACCTGGTTGCCGAGTTCACGAAGTGAATTGGCTTGTTTTACAACGTCGTTGCCAAGCGACGAAAACCCAACCCCGATGGCAAACACCGGGGGGCGGCTTGTTTTACAACGTCGTTGCCAGGCGACGAAAACCCAATCCCGATGGTAAACACCGGGGGGGGGGTATTAGTGTCTATATACCCCCCCGGCTGCATCTCTGCCCGCAAGGTACCAATCGAGGCAGAACATGCGCGACTGTGTTGTTGTGTGGTATCGCGAGATCCATCGTGCAGCCGAAGCGGTTCAGGGTTGGTGCAGCCATGGTCCATGCGCAAAAAATATCTGTTGCCCCAACCTGCCCCCCGGGGGGGACTAGTCTCTAAATACCTCCCGGGCTGTATCTATGCCCACAAGGCACCAATCGAGGCAGGACATGCAAGACTGTGTTGCTCTGTTGTGGGGCTATCGCGAGATCCATCGCACAGCCGACGCGGTTCAGGGTTGGTGCAGCCATGGCTCATTTGCAAAATATCTGTTGCCCCAACCTTCCCCCCGGGGGAGGGACTAGTCTCTAAATACCCCCCCGGCTGTATCGCTGCCCACAAGGCACCAATCGATGCAGGACATGCATGCTGTGTTGCTCTGTTGTGGGGCTATCGCGAGATCCATCTTACAGCCGAAACGGTTCAGGGTTGGTGCAGCCATGGCTCATGGGCAAAATATATCTTTTGCCCCAACCTGCCCCCCGGGGGGAACTAGTCTGCAAATACCCCCACGGCTGTATCTATGCCCACAAGGCACCAATCGAGGCAGGACATGCGAGACTGTGTTGCTCTGTTGTAGGGCTATCGCGAGATCCATCTTACAGCCGACACGGCTCAGGGTTGGTGCAGTCATGGCCCATGGGCAAAACATTTATGTTGCCCCAACCTGCCCCCCGGGGGGGATTAGTTTCTAACCCCCCCCCCAGCCCACAAGGCACCAATCGAGGCGGGATATGCAAGACTGTGTTGCTCTGTTGTGGGGCTATCGCGAGATCCATCTTACAGACGAAACGATTCAGGGTTGGTGCAGCCATGGCTCATGGGCAAAATATATCTGTTGCCTCAACCTGCCCCCCGGGGGGGGATTAGTCTGCAAATACCCCCCCGGCTGCATCTCTGCCCAAAAGGCACCAATCGAGGCGGGACATGCATATATCTGTTGCCCCAACCTGCCCCCCGGGGGGCGATTAGTCTGTAAATACCCCCCCCGGCTGTATCTCTGTCCACAAGGCACCAATCGAGGCGGGACATGCACCACTGTGTTGCTCTGTTGTGGGGCTATCGCGAGATCCATCGTACAGCCGACGCGGTTCAGGGTTGGTGCAGCCATGGCTCATGGGTAAAATATATCTGTTGCCCCAACCTGCCCCCCGGGGGGGATAAGTCTGTCCTGCACCGGCCTGTGGTCCCACCCATTACTCTACTGTCGATTGTCTGATCTACCACGTATTGCTTTGACCACACAAGCCTCCAAGGTAGGTCTCTCCCCACCCAAACTTTCTTATTTTCGCGGCGCGCGCACGTCAAAAATCGAATGTGTGCGTGGCCAGCCGACAATCGGCAACGTGTTTTAGTCAGGGTAGTACTCGCTACGGCTCGTCTAGGAACCTGCCGTTCCTACCCTTGCAGGCGCCACGTGCGACGCTCTCGGTTTGCCGCCCGGCAGTTTTCATGATAACAGCGATCGCAGGTCCATCCAGCAACTGTGCCACACAAGCCCCGTCCCGAAAGAAGGGCATCGTGTAGCAGTTTGGCAGCCCGTGACGTCCGCGCCCGCAACCACGGCGTCTACGGAATCATGGAGGGTCTTACCAAACTGGAAATTGAAGATAAGATCTTCCCCCGCCGGCAGCCACAGAATCGGCGATCCCATCGTGAAGGAGAGATCGTCGTGGACGCGAACGCCAGCGAGAACAAAGCGACGTCCCTGGTATGCTCAAATGCGTACCACCAAAGGCGACGCAGTTTGTGCCCGAAAGCGCATGTCCCTCAACAAATCGAAGCGGACATGCGGCCACATGGCTATTCGACAAAGATTCTGTTCCTTCCCCGTAAATATGACATAGGAGTCTACGAGAGGCCTACGACACGGGTTGCTCGACCACGTGACAGTGTCCCAACAGCCGTCTTGCCCCAACTGCTTGTGGATCGCCATCTTTAACTTGGACACGACCCCTTTCTGCATCGACGCGTCTGCGTACTGTTAGCGCATTGCGCAACTAGAAGGCATGTGCGGAAATGTATCGTACCTACTCTATACGCCAAAGCATGGCTCTGTCGTGTACCCACTTGGTGCCTCTACGTTGTGTGCCCAAGAATCACAGTCATTTGAACGCGTCTTGGTCCGAGGCCTGCGTTCAGCAACAACGTTGTTCGGTCGCCGAAGCCATGAGAGCAACGGCGACCAGCTGCACATTCTCCCAGAGAGCACGGAAAACCCTCGGGGTTTAGTGGAATGATGCTTTCGCGCCAGGGCAGCGAGATACCATCAGCGAAGAAATGGGCATCCAACGGGTACTCGACCTGTAGCTCCAACAAACGAACAAACTATGCATAAGTTGCATAAATTTCCGGGTTGTGCACCCACCCCCGGTTGAACGATCCATACACCGCGGTGTCAACGACATCGACGAAGCCTTGAGCCCGCTGCAAGCCAGTCGGAAATCGCACACGGAAAGAGTCGCGACAAGTGGTACAACGCAAACATCTCCTTGTTGGTGTGCTTGTGCAGCCAATCAGTTGGGATCACACCACCAGCCCGGTACTGGGCTCCCCCGATGTTGACAACGCCACCCCAGCCTAGGGAAGACGCGTCCGATGATGCGTCAAGTTTGACGATGAGGGTTGCTTGCTCGCTGTCAGGGCCCTTCGTGCGAGGAAACCGTCAGAGAAAGCCGCTTTAGAAACTCTTCCCGCAGGTGCGCG